ATCTCACCCCAACAAGACTAGCATTAATCCAAAAAACACAATAAATGTTGGAGAGGTTGTGGGGGAGACTGTAACACTTATACACTGTTGATGGGAATGTAAAATGGTACAACCACTTTGTTAATCGATTTGGCGCTTCCTTAGAAAGCTAGAAATAGAAGTACCATAGGATCCAGCAATCCCGCTCCTTGGAATATATCCTAGAGAAGTAAGAGCCATCATACGAATAGATATATGCACACTCTCTGCCTTGGTTTCCTCTATGGGAAATGAAGATATTAATTCAGTACTTAGCTCATAGGGTTTTTGCGAAGATGAGGTGAATTAATGGAAATACAACACTTAGATAATGTCTGGTGTATAGGAAAACTCAATAAATGTAAGCTGTTATATGTTTTGGACTTGGTAAGACATTTATACTCCAACATGTGTGTGTGTTTGTTTTCAGGGGGGCTCTTATTTCATTGGTAAGGACCTATAAGAGTTGAATAGCGGGGTTGGGTGGCAAACACCTTTTGTCTTGTTTCTGACTCCAGTGGGAATCTCTCTGATGTTCTGCCATTAAGTACGAGTTTGTTATGATTTTCTTTGGTCGTCGTTGTTAGCTGCCATTGAGTTGATTCTGACTTATGGCGACCTCGTGTGCAGAATAGAACTGCTCCTTAGGGTTTTCAAGACTATGACCTTTTGGAAGTAGATCACCAGGCATTTCTGTGGCACCTCTGGGTGGGTCCGAACCACCAACCTTTCAGCACTTAACTGCTTGTGCCACCCAGGGACTCCTTTATCAAGTTAAGGAAGTCTCTTTATAATCCCAATATCCTGAGAGTTTTTAATCATGAAAGTATATTTAGGGTTTTTTAAATTGTAAATATATAACACAACATTTGCCAATTTAGTTTTATCAAATGCTTGTTTGTCATTTCTTGAGTTGATAATGTGTTTTTTCCTCTTCAAGCTATTAAAGTGATTTAGAAGATTTTTTTTTTTTAACATTGAGCTGTTACATTCCTGAGATAATTCCTATTTACTACTAACGTTGGGCTTAAGATTTTTACAACTGTGTTCATAAGTGAGATTAGCCTCAGGTATCTTGCTTTGACTACCCTTGTCTGGTTTTGGTATGAAGATTATTTTATGAAGTTATAAAATGAGTTGAGTAGTTTTCTTCTCTTTTTCCAGGAGAGACAATATAGCTATAGTGGTTAAGAACATGGCTCTGTAGCCAGATGTTTTGGTTGGAATCCTGGTTCTACCACTTAACTAGTTGTCTGACGTTGGGTAAGGTGTTTAGCTTCCCTGTGCCTCATTTCCTCATCTGATGAATTTTCACAAAGGTAATACACCCCTTTAACCAGCACCCAGATGAAGAAACAGAACATTACTAGCACCCAGCACCCACCCTTTCTGCTTGTTGTAGTCACTCATTTCCAACAAGGCCACCACTGTCCTTTTATCACTATAGATTACTTTTGCTCGTTTCTGAAGCATATATAAGTGCAACATAGAGTATGCACTCTGTTGTGTCTACTTGCTTTCACCTAGTCTTATGCTTGTGAGATTTACCCTAATTGTTGCATATAGCGGCAGTTCAGTAATTCTTATTGCTGTATAGTATTCTATTGTATGAATATAAACCCATTGCCGTCGGGTCGATTCTGACTCATACTGACCGTGTAGGACAGAGTAGAACTGCCCCATAAGGTTTCCAAGGAGCAGCTGGTGGAGTCCATCTGCTGACCTTTTGGTTAGCAGCCATAGCTCTTAACTACTGCACCACCAGGGCTCCTGTATGAATATAGCAGAGTTTATTTATCCATTCTACTGTTGCTAGACAATTCCAGTTTTTGGCTCTTAAAAATTGTGCTGCTGTGAATATCCTTATAGATGTCTTTTAGTGAACATATGTACATTTATTGGGTATTTCTGTTGGGTACATACCTCGGAGTGGAATCTATATATGTATGTATGTGTTCAGCTTTAGAAAATAATGCCAACAGTTTTCCAAAGTGGTTGTACTGGTTTACAGTCCTAACAGTAGTATGTGAGCGTTACTTGCTCCACATCCCTGCCAGTACTTGGTATTGTCTGTCTTTTTTTCATTTTAGCCATTCTGGTGAATGTGTAGTAGTATTTGTGAAGTGCTTATTGAACTCCTTTGCCCATTTTTCTATTGGGTTGTCTGCCTTTTTCTTACTAATTTGTTGTAATTATTTATATATTCTAGACACGAGTCCTTTATTATATGTATTGCAAATGCCTTCTTATGCTCTGTGGCTTGCCTTTTGACTCTCTTAATGGTGTCTTTTGATAGTAGAAGTTCTTAATTTTAATATAGATCATTATATCATTTTTTTTTTCCTTTTTGGTTAGTGCTCTTTGTGTTCTGTTTAAGACATTTTTTTCCTACCACCAAGATCATTAAGATGGTCTGCTATTTTTTTTCCTAGAAGTTTTGTTAAAACCAGAAAACTATTAATATACCTGGAATTGATTTTTGTGTATGGTGTGACGCAGGGGTCAAGATTAATTTTTTTTTTAATTAAAAAAAATATGGAACGCTTCACGAATTTGCGTGCCATCCTTGCGCAGGGGCCATGCTAATCCTCTCTGTATCGTTCCAATTTTAGTAGATGTGCTGCCGAAGCAAGCACAAGATTAATTTTTTTTCATGTGGCTATCCAGTGAGTCAGAAGCATTTATTGAAAAGACCATTCCTTGATCACAAATCAGGAGTTCATGTATGTATTGATCTGTTTCTGGATTCTCTATTCTGTTCTGTCTACTTGTCTATCCTTGCACCAATTCCACACTGTCTTCCTTACTGTAGCTTTATAATCGGTCTTGGATACGTGGTAATATGAGTCCTCCAGCTCTGAAATTCTTTTAAGATTGCCTTAGCTATTCTTGGCCCTCTGCATTTCCATATAAATTTTAGAATTTGATGAAAGAAAAATACCTGCTGGGATTTTGATTAATATTGCATTGAATCAACAGTTCAATTCAGGTAGAACTGCCATTTTTAAAGTACTGAGTCTTCCACTCTATGAATATGTTATATCCCTGCATTTGTGTGGGTCTGTAATTTCTTTCAATAATATAATTTTCAGTCCTGCACATTTTTAGTTAGATTTGTTTCTGGGCTTTTGATGTTTATTTAAAAAAAAACATTTTAAAGCTATTTTATAAGTGACATCACTTTTTAGAATACATTTTCTATTTGTTGCTGGTATATAGAAATACAGGGAATTTTTGCACATAGATCTTGTGTGCAGTACTCTTGCTAAATTCACTTATTAATTCTAATAATGTGTGGATTTTTTATTTTTATTTTCTATGTACACAATCAGGTCGTTTGTGAATAATCACAATTTTGTTTCTTCCATTCTAATCTATATCCTTTTTCTTTCTTTTGCGTGCCTTATTGAACTTGCTGCGACCTCCAAGGATGGCAGTGGGCATCCTTTCCTTATTCCCAAATTCGTGATGTTTGTTGTAGGTTTTTTTTTTGGTAAATATTCTTTATCAGATTAGGGAAGTTCCTCTTTTGGCTATATTTTGTTTTATTGTTGTAGTTGTTGTATGCCCTGGGATAGGCTATATCAGACTGGAATTATCTCTTAAAATTTTGGTAGAAGTCTTCTAGGAAATCACCTTGGGCTGGGGCCTTCTGGTGGGTAGATTTTCCCTCACCATCTTAATTTCTTGTTATTTTCCCCAGGTTGTCTACTCCTTCTTAAGTCAATTATGATAATTTATAGTTACCTAGAAAATTATCCATTTCATCTAAGTTTTCCAATTTTTTTACTCAAAGATATATGTAATTTATTTTAAAAATCTTCATTTTATTTATAACACATTAATTTAAATTATATTTAAATTATCTTGTTTATTCATTTGCTTATTTATTGTCTCTCTTTGCCCACCTTCTCCCATTAGATTATTATTTTAAGATTTCTAGGCATATAGATTTGGGTTCTTTTGTTGTTGTTGTTGTTTTTATGCTAACTTTTTTACTACATTATGGTAACTGTGGCCTGTGTGATATCAGCTTTATGGAAATTTTTTGATATTTCCTTTGTTACCTAGAACAGGAGTCCTCAAACTACATACTGTCTATAGTTGTTTTCCAGCTACAACCTCAGAGTTAAATAGTTGTGACAAGGACTCCATGGCCTGCAAAGCCTAAAATATTTACTGTCTGGCCCTTCACAGAAAAAGTTTGCTGATCCTTGACCTAGAACATGGTCAATTTTTGTGACTTTTTCATATGAATTGAAAAATATGTGTATTGTCTCTGGGTACAAAGTTCCTTATGTATCTGTTAGAATAAGCTTGTTAAGTTGCATTATACAGATCCTTATATTCTTCCTCATTGTTTGTGTTTTTGATCACAGATAACTGTAGATTTGTCCACTTCTATTATTTTAGTCCGAGTTTGCTTTATATGTTTTGAAGCTATATTGTTAGTGCATGAAGGTTCATGACTATTATATTTTCCTGCTGTGTTTTTCCCTCATTCAATATGAAATAGCCCTCTTTGTATCAATTTATTTATATATTTATTTATTTATGCCTTGAATTCTTTATCTCTAAAGAATATTATTCTTCCTGTCTATCAGGATTAAGTTCAGCTGCACATATTAGAAAAACAATTTAAATAAGAAATAAAATAAGTTTAAACAAGAAAGATTATTTCTTTCTTGGGTAAAAGAAGTCTGGAGATAGGTATTCCAGGACTCTACGATGTCATCAGGGACCCAGGCTCCTATCTTTCTGCTTCACCATCTTGGTATATGGTTTCCGTCCTAAGGTCCCCTCATGGTCCACGAGACTTCTGGAGCTCCAGCCAGCACATCTCCATTGAGGGCCAGAAGGAAGAGGAAAGGTAGGAGGGCAAAAAGGGGCCTATCCCAGATGAGTCAATTTCCAGTAAGTGACATTCCCAGAAGTTCCAGAAAACAATTCCACTTCCATCTCATTGGCAGAACTTAGTCAAGTGGCCATCCCTAAGCTACAAGGGTGACTGGGGAATATAGTCTTTTACTTCAGATGGTTCTGTCTTGGCTAAAAATTGGTATTCTGTTACCAAAGAGGAAGGTGAGAATGAACATTTGGAATAGACAACCAGCAATGTGCCACTGCCTGCTGTGTGTTGTACTTCTTGTTATTAGCATTTGCCTGTTATAACTTTTTCCATTCCTTTATTTTCAACCTTCCTCAGTTATTTTGTTTCAGGTATGTCTCTTGTAAATAGAATATAGCAAGATCTTGAGTTATTCGATTTTAAACAATCAGAACATCTGTCTGTTAATAGGTGAGTGTAATGCATTCATTTTTATTATCGTTGCTGATATATGTAGCAGTATTCCTGCCATTTATCTTTTTGCTTTCTGTTTGCCATGCTTTCTATTTAAGTCTTTTTCCCTTTTCTGTCATTTGTTGTATTGATTGAGCAAACTGTCCTTAACGTTTTTATTCTTTTAGTTATTACACTTTAACTTTCTGTTTCAAAATAATTTAAGATTTATAGAAAAGTTTCAAGAATAGTACAAAGGATTCCTGTATACCCTAACCCATATTCCCCAAAGTTAAGATTTTACCACATTTACATTTTTTCTGTCTATATATAGTCACGTTTTTTTTCCTGAACCATTTGAGAGTAAGTTCCACACATGATGCTACTTCAGTGGATATTTCCTAAAGAACAAGGACATTCTTTTTCATAACCACAATATAATTGTCAAAATCAGGAAATTAAAAACATTCATACAATACTATTATCTAATCCATACACAGTATTCAAATTCACCAGCTTTCCTAAATTCACCAGCTTTCCTAAAAACATCCCTTTTAGCAGAAGGAGAACAAAAAAATTTCATTCGGGTTCAGGATGCAGTCTAGGTTTATGCATTCCACGTAACTGTCATGTCTCTTTAGTCTCCTTTGATCTGAAATACGTCTTTTGTGACTTTAACATTTTTTAATTAAGACTACAGGCCAGTTATTTTGGATAAATGTCCCTCGTTTTGCATTTGTTGATGTTTCATCATGACTAGATGCAAATTATACACTTTTGGCAAGAATGGCACAGAAGTGATGTGCTTTTCTCAGTGATTTATATTAGGATTCACATGATATCAGTATGTCCCATTACTGGTGATTTCCACTTTGATCAAGTGCTTAAGGTAGTGTCTGTGAGGTTTTTCCACTGTAAAGTTACTATTTTTCCCTTCGCAATTAGTAAGTATCTTGGGAGAAGTTTTAGCATTCATTGATTATCCTTTTAAACCATTTATTACTAAGATGGTTGTCAGATGGTAATGTTACGATTCCATCATTCCTTCTGCATTTAATTAGTTGGCATTCTACTCTGAAGAAGAGTTTTCCCTTCTTCCCCATTAGTTTATTTATTAATTTATATTAGTGTGGACACTTGGATTCTTATTTTATTCAATGGATTCTATTCCATTGCTATCCTTAGTTATTTTGAGGCACACATTGTTTCAGATTCAGCCAGTGGAAGCCCCACCCATGTTCTTTTGACATGTTCCCCTAGTTCTTTGAGTACCACCTGATTTTCTAGCACAAGATGATGTTCTAGGTTCGTCTTCTACTTTCCTGTACCCAGTCCTGGATTCAGCATTTCTCCAAGGATCTTTGGCTCCTTTTATTTATTTTTTAACAGCTTTATTGGGGTATAATTGACATATCATAAACTATACATGTTTAAAGTGTACTTGATAAGTTTTGACATGTATACACCTGTGAAACCATCACCACAATCAGGAAAGTATCATCCCCAAAAAGTTTCCTTGTGCCCCTTTGTAATTCTTGCCTATCCCCATCCCAGCCCCGGCAAACACTGATTTGCTATCACAATAGATTAGTTCGTATTTTCTAGAATTTTACATATGTGGAACCATAGAGTATGTACTGTTTCTTTGTCTAAATTCTTTCAAAAGCCATAATTGAGATTCATCCATGTTATAACCAAAAACCAAACCTGTTGCCATGGAGTTGATTCCAACTCATAGCGACCCTATAGGACAGAGTAGAACTGCCCCATAGTGTTTCCAAGGAGTGGCTGGTGGATTCGAACTGCCGACCTCTTGGTTAGCAGCTTGAGCTCTTAACCACCGCACCATCAGGGCTATCAACAGTTCATTCCTTTTAATTATGGAATAGTATTCAGTTGTAGAAACATTACCACAATTTGATGGGCATTTGAGTTGGTTGCAGTTTTTTTTTCTATTACAAATAAAGCTTCTTTGAACATTTGCGTACAAGTCTTTTTCTTCCCTTGGGGAAATACCTAGAAGCAGACTGGCTGAATCACATGGTAGGTGTGTTCTACTTTTCAAGAAACTCCTAGATTGTTTTCCAAAATAGCCTGTTGGGATTTTGGTTGGGATTATGTTGAATCTATAGATTATACTGGGAAGAAATGACAGTTTAACAATATTGAGTCTTCCGATGCATGAACATGGTATATCTGTCCATTTATTTAGGTTTTTAATTTTCTTAATGATTTGTAGTTTTCAGTATACAGGTCTTGCATATCTTTTGTCAGATTTATCCCTACATTTTCATATATTTATGCCATTTTAAATGCTATTGTTTCTATTTTAATTTCCTGTTGTTATTGCTTCTATATAAAAATACAGCTAATTCTTGTATATTGAGTTTGTATCCTGCAACTTTGCTAAATTCACTTGTTAATTGTAGTAGCTTTTTAAAGATCTGATACATAGATGATCGTGTCATCTGTGAATAAAGGCAGTTTTACTTCTTCCTTTCCCATCTGGATGCCTTTGGTTTGTTTTGTTTTGTTTTTGCCTTGTTTCACTCACTGGTACTTCCAGTAAACTGTTGAATACAACTGTTGACAGCAGTCATTGTAGTCTTGTTGCTGATCTTTGGGGAAAGCATTTGATCTTTCACTATTAAGTATGATATTACCTGAAGCTTTTCTTTTGTATATCCCCTTTATCAGATAGTTTGAGGAAGTTCCCTTATATTCCCAACTTGCTGAGACTTTTCTTTTTCATCTAAAATGAATGTTGGATTTTATCAAATGCTTATTCTTTATCTGTTGTGATGGTTATATGTATATGTTTTTCTTTTTTAGTCTATTAATATTGATGAATTGCTTTGATTGATTTTTCAGTGCTAAACTAACCTTACATTCCTGGAATAAACCCACTGGTCATGATGTATTATCCATTTTATATTTTGTTGGATTTGATTTACTAAAATTTTGTTTAGAATTATTAATTTAGTTTGTAGTTTTCATTTCTTGTAAAGTCTTTCTCTGGCTTTGATATCAGAGAAATGCTGGCTTCAGAAAATGAGTTGGACAGTATTGCTTCCTTTTTCAGTTTCATGGAAGAGTTTGTGTAGAATTGATATTTCTTTCTTGTATGTTTCATAGAATTCACCAGTGAAGCCTTTTGGTCTTGGAGTCTTCTTTGTGGGAAGCTTTTTAACTACTTAATGCATACAGGGCTATTCAGGTTGTCTGTTTCTTCTTGAGTGAGCTTTTTTCTCTTTTTTTTTTTTTTTAATTGTGTTTTAGGTGAAGGTTTACAGCACAAATTACTTTCACATTCAAAAATTTATACACAAATTGTTTTGTGACATTGGTTGCAATCCTCGCAATGTGTCAGCACTCTCCCCTTTCCCCTTCCATCCTGGGTTCTCTGTGTTCATTCCTCTGGTTTTCCTGTCTCTGCCTCCTCGTTGCTTTTCGGCAGGTGTTGCCCATTTGCTTCCTGACTGAACTAAGAAGCACATTCCTCACGTGTGTTATTGTTTGTTTTATAAGCTTGTCTAATCTTTGGCTGAAAGGGGGACTTTGGGAGTGGCTTCAGTTCTGAGTTAGCGGGGTATCCGGGGACCATAGTCTCGGGGTTCCTCCAGTCTCTGTCAGACCAGTAAATCTGGTGGTTTTTTTTTTTTTTTTTTTTTTTGTGAATTTGAATTTTGTTCTACATTTTTCTCCCATTCTTTCTGGAACCCTCTATCGTGATCCTTGTCAGAGCAGTTGGTGGTAGTAGCCAGGCACCGTCTAGTTGTTCTGGGCTCAGGCTGGTGGAGGCTATGGTTCATGTGGTCAATCAGTCCATTAGACTAATATTTAACTTGTGTCTTTGGTTTTCTTCATTCTCCTTTGCTCTGAACATGATGGGACCAACAGATGTATTTTAGATGGCCGCTCACAAGCTTTTAAGACCCCGGACTCTACTCACCAAAGTAGGATGTGGAACATTTTCTTTATGAAGTATGTTATGCCAGTTGACCTAGATGTCTTATGAGACCATGGTCCCCAGCCCTCAGCCCCAGTAACTTGGTCCCTCAAAGTGTTTGGATGTGTCTAGGAAGCTGCTACGGCTTTCCCTTGGTCAAGTTGTGCTGACTTCCCCTGTGCTGTGTGTTGTCTTTCCCTTCACCACAGTTAACACTTGTCTACTATCTAGTTAGTGATTTCCCCTCCCCATCCCTCTCCTCCCTGATAACCACCAAAGATTGTTTTTATCTGTGTGTAATGTGGAAATTATTGAACAATATTAATATCACACACAAAGTTTTGCTAAAGATCATTCAAAAGCAGTTGCAGCCGTACATCAACAGGGAACTGTCAGAAATGCAAGCCAGATACAGCAGAGGACGTGGAACAAGGGATATCACTGCTGATGTCAGATGGATCCTGGCTGAAAGCAGAGAATATCAGAAAGATGTTTACGTGTGTTTTATTGACTATGCAAAAGCATTTGACTATGTGGATCGTAACAAATCATGGAAAACACTGCAAAGAATGGGAATCCCAGAACACTTAATTGTGCTCATGAGGAACCTGTACACAGACCAAGAGGCAGTCGTTCGAAC